CGGCGCCTGCGGGCTCACCTTCAGCAGCGAGGCTTTGCCGGCTCTGGCCAGCTGCCTGAGCTGCTCCGAAGCCGCGGCCTTGCTGAGCTTCCCCGCGGGCTCGGCGCTGCTCTTCTCCCGGAGTCTCCTGCGCTTCTCCTTCTCCTTCAGTTTCATGTGCTTCCTCAGTTTCTTTTGCCGCCTTTCTCGCTTCTTGTCTGTGGCTGTTTTCTCAGCAGCGGTTTTTATATCTCCAGCTTTATTTTTTTCCTTTTAAAAAGTAACCACCAACACACTAGTTAGTCAGGCCGACGGCACGTGGACTCCAGCCTGAGCCCCGGGACCTGCCGAGGTGGCCCCAGTGCTAAGCGGCTGACGCCAGCCACTGGGCTGGTTGCAGGGTCTGAGACAGGAGATCCTCCGGGTGGCGCTCAGCTGCCTCGCTCTCCTCAGCGGCCAGCCTAGCTGCTGGGGCTGTCAGAGTCTCTGAAGGGGTGGGTGCGGGAGCAGCAAAGCAAGTGAGGGGAGAGGGGCTGCGCTGCTAGGCCAGCGGGAAGACAGATCCTGGCAGGACCGGCGTCACTGTGCCAGGCGTGAGCGCCGTGTCCACGGGCAGGGACCGCCGCACTCGGCCTGGCCACCCTCTACCGACACCCAAAGGCTCGTGTTCTAGACCCCGACTCCACTCCAGAAAAGCATTAAACGGACGACATGAGGGGGAAATGCTGACGTTAAAAGATTGCTAGTATATGTGCAATATACGCAATTTGTTTGAAACCTAACCCCGCTAGTATGCAAACGGATTAGAACAAGATACTGATATTGGCTATTTACCAACAGCTTTTGTAATAAGTCTCATATCTGCAAATCGTAGTAACAGCTGATTATAGGAGTCTGGTATTTGAATGTTAAACACCATTATAACATTATTAATTTGATTATACTCAGGAACTGCTGAGATGCATTAGAATAAGAACTACGAACTCCAGGAGAATGACAACAAACGGAGACCCGGCTGCGAACACTGCTTATCTGCCGATACTGCGCGTTTCCCCGGCTCCTCACCTTGACTTCCTCTGGGGCCAGGAGAGCTGCGTCGCTGACACTCACGGGGGCGACTTCCTCCATGGTGATGGCCGGCAGGTTGGACACAACTTTAATCTCCGGAACGGGCTGGAAAAGAGACGACACATGGATTAGGAAGTAAGAAACAGTCCGCACCTAAAAGAATTGAATTGTGAACCTAGTAATTTAAAATCGAATACATAAAATGCTTTCGGGAGGTTCTTTAAAACATGAGCTGTGTTGAGGGTGGAAGCCAAGCTAACGGGGCAGCACTCACGCTGCCTGAGGATTCGAGGGTCTCCTGTGTCAGCACTGCCCCAGGGGCACCCCGTCCTACCCTTCTGCATGGCACCTCTGCCGGATTCACACACCAGTTCTCTCATCTGTGACTGAACTATTCCCCTCTCCCACGCTTGTGTACGTTCTCAATCTTATGTGCTGCTTAATAGAACCTGTTGATTTCTGTAAATATTACCTTGCCCTTGGTTATGGGGGCGTTGGGAGGGAGCTCACTGTAAGAAATATATGGAGCCCGGCCGGTGTGATTGGGCCTTGACCCATAACTCAGGAGATCACGGTTCGATTCCTGGTCAGGGCACATGCCTGGGATGCAGGCTCGATCCCCAGTGGGGGGCGTGCAGGAGGCAGCCGATCCATGATTCTCTCTCATCATGGATGTTTCTGTCTCTCCTTTCCTCTCCCTTCCTCTCTTGAAATCAATTTTAAAATGTATTAAATAAAAAAGAAACATATGGAAAAAGATACAAGGAAAAATGTTCACTGGAACAATACTTAGTAAGTTTTCTCTTTTTCCAGCTCCTAGAAACAGACTCTGATAAGCAGAAGCCCAATGAAGGGCTGGTCTCCCCAAAGCTCAGCCAGGGCCGTGACCACAGCCGCTCCGTGTCCACGCAGGAGGGTGAGCACTCACGGGTTTGGGGATGAAGTGGAAGTTGGAGAGGGCGTCCAGCTTTAAGAAGAGAGAGTCCATCATCTTCTGGATGGCCACGTGCTCTGGGTTTTCTTCTTCTTCTGTTTTTTGCTGAGAAAATAGGTTTACCACCATCAGACTAAGCGGCTTAAGGGACGTCACCGGACAGCACCCCACGGCCCCTGCCGGTGTACCGAGCCTCCTGGCAGCACCCCTGGGCGGGACACAGGTCCCTCCGCTAGCGCCCCGGGCCGCAGGCAGCCAGGACTCGGACCCAGAGCCTCCTAGTTCTCCCCCTGCAAGGGCACTGCTGCTCCTGCCGCTGAAGGGGCCTAACTGACCGAGCTGCTGGGAGTCTAAACGGCCTTGGCAGAGGAACAACGTCACCTCGTCCCCAAGCACAACTGGCCGCATTCCTAGCAAACCAAATGTAAAGGAATAATTGACAGTTATTATATTGGAAATACGACTCTGTCCTACTTAAGGAATATTTTTTAAAGAATCTAATTAAAAAGAAAAACCAAAGATACCCACCAGACCTAAAAGTATGAATGGATTCACCGATAATCTTATAAAACACACCAGCAACTTCTAAAGGATGAATGAGAAATGATTTAAAAACTGCAGCACTGCCCGGCCATGTGGCTCAGTGGTTGAGCGTCGACCTATGGAACCAGGAGGTCGCGGTTCGAGTCCCCATCAGGGCACATGCCCGGGTTGCAGGTTCAGTCCCCAGTATAGGGTGTGCAGGAGGCGGCCGATCAATGATTCTCTCTCATCATTGATGTTTCTATGTCTCCCTCCCTTCCTCTCTAAAATCAATAAAATATATATTGTTTAATTGTAGCACTACTATAATATAGCTGGGAAAGTTAATAACTAGCTGTGAAGTATCAGGTGACCACTGTTAACTGCAAGACAACCTCGCTCTCCGCTCAGTGGGAACGTTATAACCCACCATTCTGGCTTGCTCGGAGCCTCACCCTGAGACCAGGGGACCGAGAGCTCAGGGTTTCTGTCTGATGAATTTCGGCCGTCACAGAACTAGTTCTCCCAGTCTCTTCTTTCAGCAACAGCTGTGCCTTCGTGGCTCCTCACCTGGCTGAGCTTGATGTATTCCTGCTCGTATATTTCCGCGAGGCTCAGCTTGCTCTTCTCGTGGTCCAACGTTAGCCGCTTCTTATATTCGAACGCGTCCTCCTTGGGCTTCTCCTTGCGGACGACATCATCCCACGCCTGAGATGGGAGGGGGAAGGGCACACACTCACAACGTCTCCTTTCCTCGCAGGCTCGCTCACGGACCTGCCCCATCCCACCTACGGCCGTCCCAGAGAAAGCAGCTCCCACCCCTGAAACGACTGCTCACCTCACAGAGAGTAAGTCTTATGGAAAGCAGGGCGGGCCCCCGCAGGAGCCCTTTTCGCTTGTTTTAAACGCGCCTTTCTCCTGGTTGCCCACCTGGAGTCCCTGTTTCCCCATCACGGTGTGTTCACAGCCAGGATTCAGGTTTGTCTGTGTCACTCAAATGTAAAGACCCTCCGCAGGCAGCGCCCACTCTGCCGCCCCTCCTGCTTTCAGCCACTTCACACACACGCACGTCGAAAGCCCCTCTCATTACACACGCAGACACTCCCGCTGTATTCCGAGCGGACAAAAGACCAATTCTGCAGCAAAAGCTCTTCACTAGGTTTGTAACATCTGAATAAAAACAGACCCCTGGTCTGTCACATCAGATGCTGTGCCCAGACCCCGGGTCCTGGGTGTGACCACATCGAGTCAGATGTCAGTCACCACAGCCACCGCCCGCCACCAGCTTCATCCCACACCACCCGGCGGGTCAGCACGGCGAGGGGCCCTGGCCATGGCCCTGGCCCCGCTTCTCCTCCGGCACCTCAGCCAGTGAGGACCGCGCCTCACGCCACAGACGCTGAGGACGCCTTCAGGGCAGGCTTGGGGCCTTTACATGAGCAGCCGACATAAAACTTCTATGAAAACAGAGCATCAGCCATTCCTGCTCCCCAAATACGTGCGTTATTTCTAAAAACGCCCGTCACCGTTCACAGAGGTGCTTTTCACTCGTACGGACCTGGTCTCTGATCCGCTGCTTGATGATGTCTTCCAGTTGGAGCGTGGTCTCCTCCGTGATGACCGGCGCTGGAGGCAACAGGACACGTGCGATTAGGTGGATATAAACCAGGCCAGGGGGTCTCACAGGGTGGGCCTCGGCCGCAGCGCCCACACCCGGGAACCTGCTGGACGGGCATTCTCGGGCCCCACCCCCCAGCTCCCGGGTCGGGCGGGGCCGTACCCATGCGGACGGCGTGGTCGAAGTGCAGCGTCTCCTCCAGCAGGCTGTTCTCCGGGCGCTTCTGTGCCGTCACTTCCCCCTGAAGCTGCCACGGCTTCTTTTCCAGCAGCTCTTTTTCTAAAGACGCGATTTTTTCATTCATCTGAGAGGGAGCGGCGAAGCGTTATTACGTACTTAGGAAACACAACTGGACGTATAATTGAGTAAAAGCAACTGATGTTTTTAAAAGTGGGAAAGAAACGCATTGCTCCGGACAGTAGTGACGGCCTATTCCTGTCGCCTGGGGGGGGGGGGGGGGGGGCTGCAATATACTAAATCCCCCCGGTTTTCCTCGCTGAACTGAAACGCCAAATCTGTGGTACACTAAATCCCTCCAGAAGCAGCTGGCTATATTTCTGGGCTCTCGTATTCACATCCTCTATCTCATTCACAAGCCACCGACAACGTTCGTTGTTAGAGCATTCCAAGATGAAGTCATGTTTCCATGGCAACATCAGTGTCCGATGGAGCCTGACCCTGACGCTACACCCCAATCCAAGTTATCGCTGACTTCTAAAAGACAACGAAGTGATAGAGCCAAATAACTGGAGCCTGGCTATACTCCTTTCAAATGGCATTTCATCTTCTGAAGTCAGGTGACCTGGAAATCAATTTTATCAACTTTTGGAAGATGTGCTTGAGATGGTGCTAAATACAGTTGTCTCCATGGCACTCACAGAGCCGCCTGCTCAGCCCCTCAGAGCAAGAGGCCGTGTGCGTAAGAGCAGCTACAGTTCCCAGGAGAGGTTCCAGGTCAGCTGATTAGGAAGGAGAGGCCACGGGTACAAACACAGCAGGGAGAAAAGCAGCAGGTTTTTATAGTGGCGCCACGGGCCCCATTTTTACACGTTAGCTGCTTCCCACTGGGCGTCTCTAAGTAGTGTGAGCGGTACAGAGGAGCAAGATGTGTTTTTTTAAAGGATAAGTCAGCATTCTACCAAGAAACACAGTAGATTAGTTAGCAGTCTGCAAGTTCCAGTCATGAAAGCATATAGCAAATCACTTAAACTCCTATTTATTACCTTTTCCTGTCTTTTTTCAAAGGAGGACTTAACTTCAGCAGGATCTTTCTGTGCATTTAAGAGGCTTGTCTCTTCAGGTTCCTCATCATCTCCAGATTCCTCGTCATCTGGCAGGGCGAAGGTCACCCTCTTCGCGGATTCTTTACGTTGTTTATTGTCTTCAGTTTCTTCAAGGCCATTCTCTTCATCCCTATGAGACCAAAACACGTATCAAAGGAAGAACACCCCTTTTCATTAGGGAAACAAAAAGAAACACGTTTTCTCATAATGCAAGTTTTCTTCTGTACGCCTAATGCAACTACATCTCCAGAACTTCTAAAGGCATCCGGTTATCAAGGAATGACGGAAGGAATTATTTAGGTGAAATAGAACAAAAAGTGTCCAACATAAAGAAAATAAATTACTGCCCTAGCTCAGTGGTTAGAGTGTCCGCCCCTGCACCCAAGGGTTCCAGGTTCCATCACTGGTCCAGGTTGGGGTGCATGTGGGAGGCAACCAATCGATGGTTCTCTCTCCCCCTCCTTCCTTCCCTCCCTTACATTCTCTCTAAAATACTCAATGGAAAAAATATCCTCAGGTAACGATTAATCAAAAAAAAAAGGAAAAAAAATTACTCATCAATCTATATAATACCAAGTCATCTCACACAAATAACAATAGTTTATCTTTCTTGGCACAAAAACAAATCCAAGCTCCTTGCACTAAAGGTCTGACGGACCCTTATTGGGTGAACTCTAACGCCCTTCCACGTGGACTTTCTCTGGCTCCCTGGAGACGACGGGACCTCCGAGAACCTGACTCCTCAGGCCCATGACACTGCGAGCATGCACACGACTGGCCACGCCCCGCCTGCATGGAAAGGGCACTGAACACACTCACGTGTCCGAGAGGCTCTCCTCTGCTCCTCGTTCAGCACGCTCTCCCTCTTCTTCACTGGAGCCCAGTTCCTCATCGGGGGCACCTGCCACGTCTTCGTCACTTTCAACCGGATCAAAGAAATCTTTGTACTTCAGGTTTCTGGAACTTTTACCCGACTGAAACAAAGACACTTTGCATGAAGGGCAGGAACGTGCATTAAGCCGTGCTTATGTGTGTATATTAACATTGCACAGGGAAAACTGGCCTGCTGATGACACTACCAAGAAACCCTAAGAACTACTAGATCAGGGGTGGGCAAACTTTTTGACTCGAGGGCCACAATGGGTTCTTAAACTGGACCGGAGGGCCGGAACAAAAGCAGGGATGGAGTGTTTGTGTGAACTAATATAAATTCAAAGTAAACATCATTACATAAAAGGGTACGGTCTTTTTTTTTTTTTTTTAGTTTTATTCATTTCAAACGGGCCGGATCCGGCCCACCGGCCGTAGTTTGCCCACGGCTGTACTAGACCATAACAAACTAAAAGTAGGAATCCTTTACACAATATTCCTATCTCTACATCTTCTAGCTACAATGATTTCCAAAAGATCCCTGCCTGATCAAGTACACAAGTGCCTCCCTGTCACTAGTACTTGCAGTGCTTGGTGAAAACACACGTTTGAGGGACAGTGCTGAAGGTCTGACAGGTGTGATTATGGCTATTAAGCTACAGTGGCCTCTGAGAAGGCAATGGTGGCTCCGGCTTAATCTTTCCCGTCAATTTCTCTGAGCCGATCTAAGTGTTTCACTTATGCCCTGGGGAGTGTTGAGGTATTTCCACCTCTTCCGGAAGAAACAGAACAGAATGCAATTTGAGGAGGTAGAAGGTCCCCTTTCTCTCCTCTCCCAACACGTTACCTTAGGTTTTTGACGCCCAAACAGTCCTCCCTCATCTCCATCGGAATCAAGATCTTCAAATAAATCAATCTCTTCGTCCTCGTCGTCGTCGTCACCTTTTCGTTCCTCTGCTTTTTCCATGGTTTCTAGAAAGCTCTCCATTTCAGAGAGTTTGAAGAATTTGTCGTCCACTACGGACTTCTCCCTGGGCTTCTTGCTTTCCCGTCAATTTCTCTGAGCCGATCTAAGTGTTTCACTTATGCCCTGGGGAGTGTTGAGGTATTTCCACCTCTTCCGGAAGAAACAGAACAGAATGCAATTTGAGGAGGTAGAAGGTCCCCTTTCTCTCCTCTCCCAACACGTTACCTTAGGTTTTTGACGCCCAAACAGTCCTCCCTCATCTCCATCGGAATCAAGATCTTCAAATAAATCAATCTCTTCGTCCTCGTCCTCGTCCTTGTCGTCACCTTTTCGTTCCTCTTCTTTTTCCATGGTTTCTAAAAAGCTCTCCATTTCAGAGAGTTTGAAGAATTTGTCGTCCACTACGGACTTCTCCCTGGGCTTCTTGGGCCTTTGGCTTTGTACCTTGCTCTGCTGTTCCAGCTTGCCGATATCAAAGTCAAGGTCAGAATCCTCATCGCTGAAGACAGGGCTTCTCCTCAGATCACATTGGCCGGGGTGTCTGGTTGTCTCCTCTCCTTTGGGATCATCACCACTCAGGTCTGACCCTTCCTCCTCCTCCTCCTCCTCCTCCTCCTCCTCCTGTCCTAGGCCCTCCTGGCCCTCAGCCTCCATCTCCGAGCCATCCTCTGCACCCTCCTGCTCTTCCTCCTCCGGGAGAAGGCTGAGGTCTCCGTCCTCGATGGTTTCACGGACGGCGCTCTCAAAGTACTGCAGCACCGGCTCATTCTGCAGCTCCAGCTGCTGCCAAATCTGCTCCTCGTCAAAACGGTCGACCACCAGTTTCTGTAAAGGGCTCCCGGGGATCCTGCCGCGCTCCAGCACTTTATTAAAGTCATAAAGCACTTTTGTCAAGGAAGTGAAGCTTGATGCCAATTCATCTTGAATCCTAGCAAGGGAGCAGGGGAGGAAGTTAAAGGAGACTTTTTAAAAAATGTATCTTTATTGTTTGAAGTATTACAGACGTCACCTTCGCGCCCCCCCCTCCGCAGTGACCCGCTCCAACCAAGGCACATGCCCCCGACCAGAATCGAACCTGGGACCCCTCAGTCCGCAGGCCGACGCTCCATCCACTGAGCCAAACCGGTTCGGCAAAGGAGACTTTTTTAAAAAATGATCTTTATTGTTTAAAGTATTACAGACGTCACCTTCGCCCCCCCCCTCGGCAGTGACCCGCTCCACCTCGCATGCGCCCGCCCCCCTTCCTCGTACTATTGTCTGTGTCCATGGGATACACACATAAGGTCTTCGGTTAATACCTTTCCACCCCGCACAGCCCCTGCCTTCGCTCTGAGATTCGTCAGTCTGGTAGTAACCTCGCGGTACTCTTAAATTAAAGGGGGAAATAAGGCCCCAGTCTTGTGCAAAATCAAATGTGAATGAAACGTCAATTTTAAGTATAGATTCTGGTCCGCAAGAATCCGGACCATCTTGCTGATGAGCCACCTTCATGCACAAAAGTGTGAACTTAGTATCTGTGACTCTGCACACGACTGAAATTCTGACAGGCTAAGGGGGCGGAAACGATCTGAAATTTGGGGAAAAGAGATCTACCAGTACGCCTCCCGTTAGCTTCCCTCTATCCCAGACACTGACAGGGGCCTGCAGCCCGCGCCCGCCGGAGACCGGCGCCCGATCCCGAGCCCGGGCTCCGCGCACTTACGTGAGGAAGCCCTCCGGCCGGCCTGTGTTCTCACCAACCTCGTCCAGACACCGCTTCAGAGTCCGCTGACGCCAGACCCGCAGGGCCATGGCTGTTTAAAACTCAGCTCGCCGCGCCGCATGCCCCGGAAGTAGGGCGCCCGGAAACGCGTCACAGAGATGCGCCCCGCGCAACCTGGAGCACGGAGGAAAAGGTTCCGCCGCACGCAGGTCCCGGACCCACCCCTAGCCCGAGCCAATGGCCGCGCGAGAACCGTCGCTGCGCTTGCGCAGGGGACGGCGCAGGGAACGGAAACGAGCCATTGGTCGGCTCCAGCGCCTTTGAACTCCTCCGGAAAATCTGTTTGGCATTCCTGAGGGTCCCACAGTGCGTGACGCCTTCTCCTTTTAAGTGTCCGCCTTAGATGCACCAGGTGGCTTCACAGCACGTTGCATATTGTAAAGCACCCGACAGGAATTCTGCAACACTCGCCACACCCCCTAGCGTCGTAGGCCCGCCCCCGGCATCTTGCCCCGCCCCATCCTCTGCCATGTTGCCCCGCCCCTTGAGGCGCCCAGCTCCTCCTCTGGTACGTTGCCACGCCCCTTGAAGCCCCGCCCCTCTTCT